TTTGTGTAATTTCTTTGTTTTTATAGCACAAGCATTTCTTCCTAAATGTTTTTTTGCAATGCAATCAGATTTTCAAATTTGTTATTTATATATAAATTGAATAAATTATTTTTACTTACATTTATCTAACTTTAAAAATCTTAACCTCGCAGCGGCCTCGAACCTGCGATTTCCGAACCAGAACTAGTAGTCTTCACGTGACGCCACAGCCGACATTTGTAAGAAAAGCAATTGCGTTTTATTTTTGGCTTTGGCAATTCAAAGGCAGATGTCGCTGATCGCCTAAGTTCTTCGAAATTGTCGAACTGGTAGGCACATACTAGTTAACGAAATAGTATTTTTTCTAACTTGTTTGGCTTTTCACTGCCGGGTACTCCAGAGAGAGCCCCAACTAAGTCGTTTGATTGAGTAATTATATAATTGAGTAATTATATAATTTGAAATATGACCATTTCTGGATAACCTATGGAGCTTGCACTTTAATTTGATATATAACCCAATTCTCCAGCTGCTCCAGATCGCCCTAACAGTTATATATAGAAGCGTTGAGAATGAGTCAAGAAAATGTTTAAACGCTTATAATTTTTCACCTATTTCACCGATTTGAAATCTGACAATTTTATTTGAATAACCTATGGAGCTTGCACTTTAATTTGATATATAACTCAATTCTCTAGCTACTCCAGATCGCCTTAACTAAATCGTATGACTAAGCAGTTATATATAGATATATAGAAGCGTTGAGAATGAGTGAAGAAAATGTTTAAACGCTTATATTTTTTCACCTATTTCACCGATTTGAAATCTGACCATTTTTGGATAACCTATGGAGCTTGCACTTTAATATATATATATACATATATATATATGCCAATTCAATAGCTGCTCCAGATCGCCCTAACTAAGTCGTACGACTGAGCAATTATATATATGTAGAAGCGTTGAGAATGAGTCAAGAAAATGTTTAGACGCTTATATTGTTTCACCTATTTCACCGATTTGAAATCTGACCATTTCTTGATAACCTATTGGCGTATAGTGTATAACGAATAACATTAAAAGGAAAGAAAAGAAATAAAATGCAAATATCAGTCTGCAATTGGCACTCAACGTGTACACTTAATTTCACGAATGCGACAATTATTGGCGACGAGCAAAAATCGAATAAGTAGACATTAAACCGCGTGCGAGATTATAGCCACACTTTTTACATTACATGTGCTTGGGTTAAATCATTTTTTTACAACTTCGAGCGAAATGACGCAAAATTCAGCTACACCGGCGGTATTTACTTTTGAACCGTTTAATCCGGAGACAATAACGTGGTCGCGTTGGGTTAAAAGACTCGAAACAGCGATACAGATATTTGGAAGCGACAGCGCGAAAAAGCAACAATATATTCTACATTACATGGGTGCTACAGCTTATAATGTGCTGTGCGACAAATTGGTGCCAAAGGATCCCGAAACTATAAAATACGAAAAGATTGTGGAAGTCCTATAGGAACATTTTGAGCCAAGCCCAAATGAAATTTTGGCAAATTACAGGTTTAATTTACGACAGCAGAAGCAAGGAGAAAATTGTGAGGAGTATTTAATGGCATTACGGAGATTGTCGACAAATTGCGCGTTTGGTAGTTTCTTGGACACGGCTCTAAGAAATCAGTTTGTTTTTGGCCGGAGAAGTCAGCACATACAAAGTAGGTTATTGGAAAAAAAAAACTTTAACCTTGGCAGAAGAAATAAACGCAGCAAAGTCATACGAGGTAGCAGAAAAAGGCGGGGTTGAAATGAACCAAAAAGTAGAAACGGAGAAAATGAACGTGAACATGGTTCACGAAAGAAAGCAAAATGCAAGTAGTGACAAAGTGGATCATAAACAAGTAAGAGCAGCGCTGTCTTCGGCTATGCCGAAGGCTTCATACCTTTCATGAACATCTGCAAATTTTACTTTGACAGATTACTGCTTTTGAATACATTTGCATATATCGATATAGGAGTTACATACTTATATAAAAAATCGCATCTAAACAATCAGAGGTATGGAAGATATACAGTATATTTTGCTTAGCTGCACATCCTTCTTTGCACGAAAAACTTGTGCACCTAACCGAAAAGGGCACTTAAGCGAATTTTCTTTACTACTTCAATGAGGAAGGTATCCGAATCCCTATGAAACCAAATAATGGAGAAGCACTTATCACATAGAAAATAATGCAAGCGAAATTTTTTTTCGAATGGTATCTTATTATCTATATAACTAGAAAAATAGATAGCCATTTCCGTTGTTCTGCGATATGAGTAAAATAAATAAAAGCTTGTAAAATTAGGTAATTGTAGGCCAGTGCAGGTAAACGTAATACTTTCTTTGATAATTGATACTAGTTGCACAATTTTTAAGGCAGCTATCGCCAATGTGCAGGTATGTTGAATGCATCTATCGGAGCAGTTTCCTTATAAATGTTAAAAATAATGTCTCAGATGCGCATTTTGGGGTAGGTATCTTAAATGTGCACTTAAGCATAAAGGCAGCAAAGCAAAATATACTGTACTTTATATGGCACCAATCTAAGTGATTTTCACTGCTATGTGATCGGTATGTAAACCGGTAACACAATTTATTGGGTTTAGTTTCCTACATAAAGGAGATATATGGCAAAAACTGGTATCTGAACAATCAGTGCTATAGGAGATAAAGCTTATACAGCATAGATTTTGATGATTTTCTCAGTAGACTTTGTATTATTATTTATAAAATATCTTACGAAATTTATCGGTTTTAGCTGTTCAAATAAAGAAGTTCAGATGTATGGAAGATATATGTTGTAGTCATCCGATCCTTGTTATTTTCACTGTAAGTATTCTGTTAATAATGAGTGAAAATGGTGCGAAATTTCATGTTCCTAGCTGCATAAATGGAGGAGTTATGATAAAAGACCTCATATCTGAACAATAAGTTGTATGGGTTCTGCAGGTTATAGTGACCCGATCGTTGTTATTTTCATTGTAAGTATTCTGTTGATAATGAGTGCAAGTACTGCAAAATTTCATGTTCGTAGCTGCATAAATGGAGAAGTTATAACGAAAAATCTCATATCTGAACAATCAGTTGTATGGGAGCTATATGTTACAGTGGTCCGATTCTTTCGGTTCCGATAAATGATTAATGCATTATAAAAATACACCCACCTACCAAATTTGATACGGATATCTCGAAAACTGAGAGACTAGATTGCATACAAACAGACGGACAGACAGACAGACGGACAGACGGACATGGCTAAATCAACTCAGCTCGACGTTCTGATCATATAAGTATACATTTTAATGGGTCTATCTCTTTTTGTTCGGGTTCTCTACAAACATCGGACCAAAGTTATAATACCATTTCATGCTCATGAAAGGTATAAAAAGCGGAGAAAAGAGAAAGCGGAACGTCGAAACCCCGCACCAATAATACAGGGAAAAAATGTTTTCGATATGGTAGCTCTGCACATATAGCTAACAAATGTGTGTACAAAAACACGATCTGTAATTTTTGCAAAAAAAAGGACATTTGCGCAGAGTATGCTTTAAAGAAAATCGACAACTAAATAATATAGATGGTGAAACAAATGAAAAATACGTGTTAGTCGACGAATTATTTCAACTTGGAGATAATCGAAACCATCGGGATAAAATCGAATGTGACCTCGACGTGAGCGGCGCGAAAATTCGTTTCGAAATTGACACAGGTGCCCCAGTGACAATAATTAGTTTGTCAGACGCGGTACAGCTACTGCAAAACGCCACGAAAGTTTGTTGGATATATCTGGTCAAAGTTGCGTCAGATAATATATTGTAAGGTCGGATAGGAAGCCATTGGTAGGTCGCGGCAAATTAAACTAGACTGGCCAAAAATGATGAGCGAACAATTGAACTATATACAAGAGAACACGGTTATGAATGAGGATTATGTGGGAAGGTGGAAGAAAAAATTTCCGAATTTATTTTCACCTTCAGTAGGCAAAATAACCGGCTTTCTGGCACGGCTATATATGAAGCCGAATGCAACCCCTAAATATTTTAAGCCGCAACGCGTAGCATTTCCACTGTGGAAAAAAGTAGAAGATGAACTGGGAAATCAGGTCAAAGAGGGTTTGTTGGCCGATCGTCGTGGTACAAACAAGCGATGGTACGGTACGCATCTGTGGGGACTACAAGGTGACGGTAAACCAAGGGTTAGCGATAGATGAACATCCCCTACCTACAATTGAAGAGCTATTTAGTAAGATGGCTGGGGCGCTAAATTTACAAAAATCGACCTTTCAAAAGCGTATTTGCAAGACAGACACTTATTGACACTAACAACACATAGGGGACTTTATCAACCTACTCGACTGAAGTTCGGCATCGCATCGGTGCCAGCAATTTGGCAGCGGTTCATCGATCAACTACTTGGAGATATTCCAGAGGTATCGGTCTTCTTAGACGATATCAAAATAACAGCGAGCGACGACACCACGCACAGTAAACGTACATACGCAGAACCCCTGGAAAGTCCGAGTTCATGAAAGACTCCATAGAGTACTGCGGCCATGTCATTAACAAAGCTGGCATCCATGAAATGAAGTCCAAATGTCAAGCAATTTTACAAATTAAGACACCAGCCAATAAAGAAGAATTGCGCTCATTTTTGTGTTTAGTAAACTACTACGGGCGTTTCGTGCGTTTCGTTTATTGAAGAACAATGCCCAGTTTAAATTTGATGATAGGTGCAAAAATGCTTTTGCCGAGGTTAAAAAGCAAATGCAGTCCAAACTAGTGCTTACACACTATGACCCAAAAATTCCGCTAGTGTTAGCGGTAGACGCGAGTCCGATCGGAGTAGGAGCGGTGCTTAGCCACGTATACAAAGATTGATCGGAAAGGACTTTGCAGTTTGCATCCCAAACACTTGTATTGGTAACAGATAACAAAGCCATATCACAAATATTTTCGCCCCAAAAGAGGCTACCGACAATGTCAGCGACGCGAACGCAGCATTACGCTATATACCTGTCACATTTCGATTACAAAATCCGAACAAAAAAGTCAAAAGAAAACGCAAAAGCGGATGCATTGACGCGTTTACCAAGCCAGGAAATTGACAACCGTTGGGAAGAAGTAGATTTGATCGAACGTAATGCAATCGAAAACTTACCGGTCACAGCGGCGAACCTTAATGAAGCGTCTAGAGTAGATAAAGAAGTCGCCAAATTAATACAATGCCTGAAATATGGGCAAGAATGTGAACCCAAGGAGCGGTTCGGAATAACTCAAACAGAGTTTACCTTGCAAAACGGCTGTTTACTTCGTGGTATACGCGTTTACATAGCACGACCATTCTGTGAGAAGGTACTAGCGGAACTACATACTGCGCATTTTGGTATGTCAAAAATGAAAACACTAGCGCGGGCATATTGTTGGTGGGGTGGTTTGGACAAAGACATAGAAACGCTTGTATCTGACCGTGTTCAGTGTCAAGAAATACGCGCAGATCCAAAGAAGGTACATTGCTGGATGCAGCCAAGTAAGGCATTCGAACGCGTCCATATTGACTATGCGGGCCCATTTTTAGGAAAAAATTTACTGGTGTTAGTTGACGCCTACAGTAAGTGGCCAGAAGTCCATGTAGTGACAAACATAAATGCAGAAACAACAATACAGAAGGGTAAAGAAATTTTCGCCCGTTTTAGTGTTCCGAACACCTTGGTAAGTGACCATGGGACACAATTTAATTCTAGAGAATTCCAAATTTTCCTGAAAGGAAACGGCATCGTCCATAAACAAGGTGCGCCTCACCATCCAGCGACTAATGGGCAAGCTGAACGGTTTATGCGGACGGTGAAAAATAAATTGACATCGGCGAACTGCACCAGCGCTTATTTATAGAGTGAGCTATGCAGAATACTTCTGGCATACAGAAGGGCTATACACCCAATCACTAATAAATCACCTGCCATGCTAATGTTCGGTCGTCAAATACAGTCACGTTTAGACTTGTTGCTACCAAGCAACCCTATCGGAAAAACTCAAAGAGAGGTAGAAGTGAAGAAGTTTAGAATTGGCGATAACGTAGCTGCGCGTGACTACATGAGTAAAGAGAAATAGAAGTTTGGAAGGGTGATCGCAGTGGAGGGCCAGCTACATTATAACATAGAATAAAATAAAAATAAAAACTTTTTAATATACAACGCTTTTATAAATGTACTAAAAAGTAGAAAATAATATTTCTCAGTCCCACAGAATTTGTTTTGATAACTTTTGATTTTAAAATTTTAGCAAAAGTCATAAACAATTAGTGACATTGAAAATGAAATCGTGCGGCGCATGCAGTACAAAGTATTCGCTTTCATTGACAATAGTCAAACTACATAACATTCTACAGCGAAAGTACAAATTTGAGATCGATTTTAAGCGGTCGTTATTAATATACCCACATACATACATATATTACTCTTCAATTTCAAATTAGGCCTATTACATGCGCCCCTCGCTTTTCATTTTCAATGTCATTAATTGTTTATAATGACGTTTGCTAAAATTTCAAAATCAAAAGTTATCAAAACAAATTCTGTGGGACTGAGAAATATTATTTTCTACTTTTTAGTCCATTTATAAAAGCGTTGTATATTAAAAAGATTTATTTTATTTGATTTATTTTCTACTTTTTAGTCTTGTCTGCATATATGTAATACTTCTATATTGGCAGTAAGCTAACTTCTCAATGTGTAATAGGGAATTTACATGATTCAACTATCACAGGCGATTAGTTGAACCAAAAGTTGAACGAAAGTAGGCAGCCGACCAACTTCATTGTAAGCGATTAGTTGAAAGGCCTTTTACACCAGGCGATTGTTGCTTTCAACTAATAATCGCCTGAAAAATCGCCTCATGTAAATTCCCTATAAGCATTCCGAAATCAAAGCGAGACAGTCTAGTACCGTTTTTGTCAATGTATTGTGTACTTGAGTGCCGTTTTTGTATATGTGTTGTGTACATGTTTATTTATAAACGTATGTTTTCCTTCTCTTTCATACCTGTTTATTGATATATCTGTATTGTAGTATTTTCGGACGGTACTAGCTCTTACTGCCAATATAGGAGTATTACATATATGCTTGTCTGTTCAAAATTTTGCAAAAGATATTAAAATAATTCAACTTGCAGTGAAAGAACAGAAGACTATGCAAGCACAATGTTGTTTGCTCATATTTATGTAGTATAAACATACATATGTACATACATACATATAGCAGTAGTTTATTTCATTTAAAAAAATGGGGTGTCGTCCATTTCCGCTGTGACGTATATAAATAGTGCATATATTTAGGCGCAATATTTAACTTCTTCTGGCGGGGCAACATCTAGTCTTCTAATTGTATCTCCTTGATATGATGCCTACAACGAGGTTGATAACTAGACTAGGTTGATATCTAGAATTTTCCATAAATAGCTTTGCTACATTTATAGTAGGTGCATTCTTTTGCAACCGAGCTACATAAGAAATACACGCAAAGCAAAAACACAAACTCGGCTGTTTATCCGAGCTCAGCCAGGTCGGTTAAAAAATACGCGAACGGAAGGCTAGTGTTGGTAAGTGGAAAAACTGCTCTATTGTGAATCGTTAATAGGAAAGCAGAGAACGTATATTTATAGAGAAGGTCCAAAAATGAATCAGCGTGGAAACTGTCAAATACCAACAAAACTGGCGAAGCGCATTTTAAGGGCGGCCAGCCAGAGTCAATCGAATTTTAACAGAGCCCAGCCAGAGGCAAAATAAATTTAATAGAAATTGTCTCATCAAAGCAAATGCATATTTTTCTTGTTAGACATGAAATGCTGATGGCTTTTTACGTTTTTACAACGCTTTTATTGTTCTTTAAATTGGTTAATTATTTAAAATAAATGCATGCATAGGTCGAAATATGTAATATGTACATATTGTGTACATGCATATGTATGCGAGAGATGCAATTTTGTGAATCTAAAATGTGAAAGTTATGCAAATATGTAGTATGCAATTGGCAAATTCGTTGGTGATTTGCCGCCGGCATTTGGGTTGAAAAAATCGACTTTTACTTTTTTACCGATTCATATGGTAAATGCTACGCTATTTTCAACGCAACAAACCGCAGTTTTCTAGCTGCCTTAGTTTTTCCCCAAATTCACTTTAAAGATGGATACATTGACAGAAAACGTACAAATGCATTGATTGCACTGCACGTGTTAACTTCAAGGTTGTTTTTGTTGAAAAGTTATTTATATTGAGAAAAACTGTGCATTATCATTTTTCACTGCTATACTCGTATTATGTGTAAATGTAATGTATTTTATTCGTTATTTTAAATAATGAATAAAAACTCATTTTTAACACACTGAGCCACCTTTTAATTTCATTTCTATTTTCAAAGATTGTGAGTTAGCTGAATTCTGTTTAATATTTTCTCAAGAATACTAGCCCATTCCCTCTGGTTTCGCGGCCCCTGATAAGATTTTTTGCGTTGGCCAATGCAAGAATAGCGTTGAAAACCAAATATGGGTAAAGTAAAAATTCTAAATTTAGGTTGAACAACTAAAGAGCAGAACCCTTCTCACACATATTTCTGCCAAAATAATAGCGCTCTGATGCTATATGCAAGAAAAAATTCCTTTCAATGTCATGAGCTTTACCGATGGTCTTATTTCCACTTGTGAGATCTTTTTTAAGCGTGCGTAATCTTCTATGATCTTGCAACTACAACATTGGTCCGATGCGTCAACCTCTAGTCTTATGTCATGTAGGCCAACAAAAGTCCTTATCAGGAAGCTGAAGAGCACAGATGTGCGTTTTCTATTATAGGAGAGCCAAAAATCCTCGATGTAAAATTTGGTCATTGATATACCAACAGTGGTCTTTCTTGGAAGGATGTGGTCGAAACTTTCCTTGCTGACTCGCCACTTTTAAAATATCCAAGAGCTGGTTTCCTTGAGTCTTACTGCTGCAGCAATGGCCGCCCGAGCAATTTCATCAAGCGGAGGTAGATGCAAGGTCGCATTTAGGGTGTATGACGACGTGAGACATCGTAAATTCGTATAATATAAACATAAAAAACAAAGTAGTCCAGACATATGGGGTTTCTAATGATTTCGACTGCAGCACCATTATGAATTGCAACCTGATTGTACAATAAATAGATGGAATAACCTCCGAAAATTTGATTTAAATCTATCCAGGGGTTTGAGTTAAATCGTAACAAAAACGGTTATCATTTTATACATAAATATATGTACATATCTGTATACATAAATTACTTGTTTTATTATTATTTTATTCGTTATTCGAATAATTAATGAAGATAATAGTTATTCGAATAACGAATAAAATAATTTATCCGTCATTCGAATAATTTTTTTTTGAATAAACAAAATTATTTATTATTTACGAATAACAAGAAAAACAATTTATTCATTTGTTATTCGTCATTCGAATAAATTTTGCCCAACTCTGTAATGGGGCATATGCATAGTTAAAATAAAGCCGACACTAAAGTTAGTTTCAGCTTTTTCATATCACTTTCAGTGGAATAGGCATCAGTGAAAAAAAAAATGCAACTAACTTTCTTCTTATTTGGGACTGACAAACTTAAACTTAGAGTAGACTTTATTTCATATACGAATATGCCCCAATATGCATTTCCCCATGCATATGTATGTACATACATACGTACTCCATTAGCTGATAACGTTTTTCATGCATACATATATGTATATGTATGTATGTGCATATTACTGCCAAAAATACTACGCACATACACACAAATGTACATATCCTGCAGTACGGGGGAGTGACTACAGGACTGCTGAATCGGTAGCTACCTAACAAACACCGTCAATTACCGACCGACTACTTGCAGTGTATTCCATCGATTATTTTTACAAGGCAATGTCCTAGGCGGTAGTCACCATCGGCTCTCTCTGCACTACCGGGAGTTACTAAAGTAGTCACTTGCTTAATTTATGGGCGCCCTCTGTCGTAGTTTTTCGCTATTCTGCTTCGACTCTGCACTACCATGTGCACTACTCCTAGGTAAGTATCTACTCTATTAACCCGTGGTAGTGCACATGGTAGTGCAGAGTCGAAGCAGAATAGCGAAAAACTACGACAGAGGGCGCCCATAAATTACGCAAGTGACTACTTTAGTAACTGCCGATAGTGCAGAGAGAGCCGATGGTGACTACTGCCTAGGACATTGCCTTGTAAAAGTAATCGATGGAATACACTGCAAGTAGTCGGTCGGTAATTGACGGTGTTTATTAGGTAGCTACCGATTCAGCAGTCCTGTAGTCACTCCCCCGTACTGCAGGGTATTTACAACTCACGGCAGCATACATACATATGCACATAATTACATGCATACTCAAATACAACAACAATAACTATTTCTTTCATAAGTCCCCTTTCAGACACGTCAATTCTTGAAAGCAATTTTTATCGCATTCTCTTTTGTGTTTTCTCTTTGCTTCCACACGCGTCAAGTTTAATTGAATTCAAGTCCTTGGATCTTTAAATGGGAAGCAACGAAAAGATCTAAAGAGAACAAGAAAACTTGAAACGAATGGACGGTACGGTGGTATCTGTACTCTTCCCCTCTCTTCCCACCTCTTTCGCCAGCGAACGAGCAGACTTGAAAGCAAGACTTGACGTGTCTGAAAGGGGACTAACCGCATGC